ACTCACTTGTCGATGAGCGCTCTTCTGGCTCTCGACTTGTCAGAAGATAACCGAATGTTCTCAGACGCCATTGTATTTGCAGGAAAAAATGACATAGGCTTTAGAGTGTTAATTAAATAATTTCTATGCTTTAAGGAAACGATATAATACACAGTGATATGAGTATAACGACTACATTCTCTGAAATCAATGAGCAGAACGGGAGAGACAGTGATTGGCTATTTAGACAAGATTCTTTCGGAAAACGAAAGAGTACGTCATGAACAGAAATGCGTTTGATGAACTATCTTAAAGCTATTCCCATTTTAGATGTAATGACTTCTGGTTTCAATATATCGCCAAAACATTTGAAGTTACAGCAAATGCAAGGTAATATATCGTTTACTTTTGTAATATGAGCTATATAAAACACATTACTTTTCAGCTAGTACAAAATTACAGTTAGATCGAAAGTGTGTGTCCGGTGCAATAAAAATTGATAAAGAAAACATATCAACGTTCGACGGTAAGTTTGAGAAAAGTAAAATAGCGAAACGAAACTGTATTTTCAGAGTGATGTTAAAGCAATAAAAATGAGAAAACGGAGCTCCATACGCCGTTTATAAACAAAATATTTTCCGAAATGATTGCATTTAGTTGGCAACGATATTCGTTTATTGTTCACACTAGTTGACTTTCATTTTTTTTTATAATCTTGCTAATGAAGCTTAACGTCAAAATCTTAGTACGACAAATATGGCGATTAGCAAGAATGACGTTTGTGAATTAACTTGCTATGTTCCACCCAGAAAAACAATACACCAAGAGTCACCTGATGAAGCGAGCAGTGAAGATATCGTTTATACTGATCACAGAAAATATTCGTCTATTATTATAACTTTGAAATCTGAAGATTAATCTCTTTGATTTTTCCAATTACTGTCATTGTTTCCGTTTATATGTTCAAGATGAATGGTTACTCGGCGAAACCAAGCCGAGAAAAATCCAAGACGTGCACAAACAACACCAGCATGATAAAGACATGATAGAAAATCAGCAAATCACTGCTAGTATGCCGATACAGGATAGAAGTATGGCATGAGATATCTTTTCTCTGTTTGTATAAGCACATAATCTAATTTAGAATATGAATCAGACTCAGATACTGAATCAGATGCTGATGAAAGGCCAACAATTCGAATAATTAAGAATAGAAATAAATCTGCTACAACGAATACGGATATTGAACATAATTATTCAACAGAACGAAAGAAATCTACGCAGTTAACTGTGGCCGCTGTTTCAGAATTACTGGGAGTCGATGTTCCTCCTACTTTCAAGAAAAGTGTTCAACAAGTAACTGACCCCATTCATCTACTTACGATGATTTTAGCGAGCTCAAGAAACGTCAACTAAAACAGTCATCAAATGCGACACATCCACAGTCTTCAGTAATTCATCATCAAACTGAGTCAGATAATGAACAGCCATCAGCTCCAATCAATTTACCCAAAAAACGGGATTTTACCGTATCAGAGATGATAGTGGGATATGTCAAAGATTGCGTTAACCCATATTGTACTTTAGTATGCATCGAAAATCGATGTTCGAGGGCTAAAATACCGAAAATCTTATTAAGATGTATCGGGCATTGTTCAATGAAGTTAGCGGGGTGTCCTTTTGAATATGAAGTCATTGTACGATCAAATGGTACACTGCGGGTGACGTGTAATGGTTCGATTATCCACGCGCAACAACGGCTTCACGCACGAAGGATTCGCGAACCGGAACAAGAAATTCTGCGAACTGACTTTTCAAAAGGAGTCAACCCTACTTTAGTGTTTCACGAACGATTATTGAAAATAAAACCAGAAGCATTAAAAGCTGGGAATCTAGATGGTGTTGGAAAAAGTGTACATATATATCACAAGATTGTGTCGTCGATCACTGGTAAATTGAAAGCAGACTGTTTTAACAATCTCTCAACACTCAAAAAAAATACGAACGAACAATCATGCCAGTTTTGGGAATAATTCAGTTTAATTCATACGAGCCATGCTATATTATATGCATAAATTCGGTAGCTCTCTCATTCCGGAAACGATATGTTAATGAAGAGGATGCGGAGATTATATGGGACGCCACAGGAGGAATAATTCAGTGCAAAGCAACACGAAAGAAGGTGCTTTATTATGAAATGACTGCTGCGAACCCGGTCAAACGTGCCACATCCATTCCACTCACTTTTTTATTATCGGAAAATCATGATCTAACGACAGTCAAACATTGGCTCGAGCTTTTTAAAGCATTATACAAAAAACAGTTTGCACAAAGCAATGAAACACCGTTTCCAGTTTCGAGATATATCATTAATGATCGTGCCCAAGTGTTTGTGCAGACTGCTTTGCGAGTGTTTAACAATGAAACGTTTACGGATTTTAATCAGCGAGCATATAGAATCATCACAGGTTTGTGAGATACAATCAATGTCGCATGTTTTCGTTTTTTGATGATAGTTCTTCTTTACCATTGGCGATCTGTATCTTGTTAGCATATAGTATCGGTTAACCAAATATTAGAACATCATAGCTGTAAGAAATAAAAGAAACGTTTGTTAGATAAACTACTTTAACAATCTAATACTCGTACAAACTTATTGATACAAGAAGACCTTTATTATAGGTAAAACAGTAACCGTATTTCTTTTAGGCTCGTATACCAGCGATGATTTACGCAAGACAATTCCACACGCATGCACAGCTCATATTATGAAAGATTTTAAGATATTATGTAAGAAATCTAGGTTGAATAAAGAACATATACAAGCAGTGTTATTTTACTGTTCTGTTATTCTCAACTCGTACAATTATGATCAACTCAAACACAACTATCAATTGTTTTGTACTTTCTTTTTTTATCCCGATGATTCTACGTAGTGTCGCGCTGCAAAACAAGAACTTCACGTTGAAGCGAGAAAAATTGGGCAAATGGATAAAAAAGAAATCCAAACAATTACACACGATCAAAATCATTTAATATTTATTGAGGAAGACGCATGCGACATTCAACATATTGATGATGACGATGATACACAAGAGAAAGCGACGCAGAATTCCCGGACTTGGATGTCTGAAGAGCAAATTTGTTATATCTACAGATATAAGGCACTATTCCTCGCTTCATACAGAAAGGACGTTGCACACTTCTCTTTCCTTTCTTCTCTGTTCTTCTTCGTCTGTGTGATATGTGTGTTATAGGACTGAAAGGTCAACTTTACGTTCTCTCTTTTCTGTTCGTCCGCTTGTCTTCTTTTATATACACCAACTATAGTTCCTTTTTAGTCAGATATAGTTATAAGAATGGAGTGAAGACACACGTGGGTAGTATTCTTTATATCGTTGCATTCCATCCTCTTCGTTGTTGTTAGTTCATTGTTTTTTATTCTTTTATTAGTATTAACTTTGTTCATTATTATCAAATATATTACACCAAAATCCTATTGCTATCTATTGGATTGGGGCTGAGACACTAGACGGAGAACTTTTCAGACGAGTAAGAGAACTAAAGATAGCAAGTGGGGGGAATACCGTATTTTTCATAAAAAACAACTAGCGTTCTCTATCAATCGTCATATAACGGCACACTTCACTTATATTCCTTAGTTTAATACGTCATCTTTAAGAATTATATTTGAAGTTAAAGTTCAAAGCAGGTATGTTTTGTTTTTAATTTTCTTGAGAGATCACTAGTTAAAAAGCAGTTAAGGCAGATTCTTCCAATCGACGTTTACCGCTCCTAACCGAGACGGTGTTTTTAACTAATATCGTTCCCATCTGTTTACCGCTCTGACCGGAGACGGTATTTTATTTATTGTGATATCGTATGACCAACGTACCATACCAGAACACCAGATCAAAAGTCAACCTTAAAACTTTATCTATAAGTGATCTCCAATCACATTCACCTCCATATAAAGTAAAAATACCAAAATCAGCAGCGGGTAAAGACTCTCGACGGCAATCAAGAATCTTCTCACCACTCGAACTAAGACAATCATCCTTTCTGAGTGATACTCAGCTAATTTTCTTCGACTTATCCGAAGAAGAAGAAGGTGAACAGGATATAATGGACGCACAGCAACAACAGTTTGAACAGGATAATCGTGAACAGTTGGAGGAATTAAATAAAGTATTCCAAGAAACAAAAAGAATTGAACAGGAATTCTTAAATAAAATAACTTGTCTACAAAATGTGAAAGAATCAGCAGCACAGATTGATCAGTGGTTAAACTCAGTTGAAATTATTTTTCGAAAACTCAATTACCCCGAATATTGTTGGGCAGAAGAAGCAATAAAACATTTAAACGATGAAAATGTCAAATTGTGGTTTGAGAAAGAGAACGATCTAATTAATCAGCAGTGGGATAAATTTAAACAACAATTGCTTAAATACGTTCAAGGCACTGAAGAACTGATAGTAGCGCCACTAACAAATACAGCTGAACAAGAGGAGAGAGAATATGATACAT